TTTTTTTTCCTATCTCATTCAATATGACATTTCTCGTTTCCATTGCACAACTTTCAATAATATCTCTCTGAATGGTAGGAGAAGTCATTTGATTATTTTTAGGAGCATTTGTTTGCATGACTTTTTCAGCAGCTACATTGGTCTTACAAAACCAAGATATGAGCTCAAGAAAATTACCTCGATGGATTGATTCGGGAGATTCATCATGTCCCCTGAAAGCTAAGCCCTCCCCCAAAAGATATCGAGCCACTTTTACAACAGTTGCTAACCGAGTACGATAATCATCTTCAATGGCATCAATGTTAGTTGAAAAGACATAATCTATGTTCTCTCTTTGATTAAGATATTGTTGAACTTTAATTCTACAATAAGAATGAGAACTTTCTTTGGTTCCTTCATGGTCAACAAATGCTTTTGGACAATCTTTCCAATTGTTAAATCCAACTTCAGTAAAAGCCTTTGACCCATTTTTGTTTGTATTCGAAACCAAATAACAATGCAAACAATATGCTCTATCCTTGGCGACACTATACTCCAACCACTTAAACTTATCAAACCAATAACTTTGAAATCGTCTTTTGTTCTTGCTCGTCAAACTTTGTGGAAATTTATCCATCGATGGCTTACAAGGACCTTTTGCTAAGTATCTTCTCCTTATTACATCTCTAATTTCCAATGGAAAATCATTAATGGGTTTTCGTAATCCCGGATCAGCAATAATATCATCATTTGAAACCACACTTTCTTTCTCTTTAGAAGAAGAAGAAGAAGCTTCTTTTTTATTGTCTCTATCACTTACAAATTCTAGATTCTTCTTTTGTCTAATAACAAATTTATCCATCTCACGTCTCAAAATTTCCTGATCCAAGAATAAACTAACAAAATAAAATTTCAATAATCTTAAAACAACAATTTCATATATTTCTTAATCTCTAGAACTTGAAATTACATTAAGATTTATCAAATATTTAAATATTAACAAACACACTAGAATCACGAAACAAAATAAATATTCCAAATTCAAAACATAAATTAGTAATAAATTTCAAATATTAAGAAACAAATTTTATAATTTGATAATTAAAATTTACACATACCTAGAAAGAAGATGGGAAGTCTGAAGTTTGGATGAAGAAGCACAGAAGAATTCAAGAATGAAGAATCCTTCGACACTGCGTTTGGAATTTTGGATTTCTTCTCCAATCTCCAGTGCTGCCCTGTGCTCTTTCGACTTTCGAGTTTCGCCGACCATGGAGAAGGAATAATTGCTTGAGGCCTTTTTCCGTTTCTGCTACTGCTGCGCCACTCCTTTTTTTTTGGTCAATTGGGCATTTGGGCTGTTGACCCGGTCAGAATAATTTTTTTAAACCCAATATCAAAACGACGACGTTTTGTGTCTTCTTTTTTTATTGGCAACTGCTTATCTTCTTCGATCGGTCACGACTCACTGGAGCAGTGGAGAACACCTGCGGCGCTGCGACAATTGGGGGGACAAATCCGGCCTCTCATCGCCGCTCGGGTACACTAACCCTAGTTCGCCGGAATTTCGCCGGGGGGGCAGTTGCCCAGGCATGCCCCCCCCCCTCCTCCGCCCCTGCCCACCCCGGCCCTTCCGCCTCGCCTACTTTACCCTCCTACCTCCCCAACCCTTGCCCTAGCTCGCTCTACCCCTTGCCCCTCCTACCTGTTGGGACTGCGCGTGCCCTCACCCCAACCCCGCATTAGTATGATATTGTCCGCTCTGGGCCAAGCCCTCACGGATTTGTTTTTGGGCATCTTCCAAAAGGCCTCATACTAATGGGGTTGGCTGAACCTATATATTTTGGTCCATTTTTTCTTCTCCCTCCGGTGTGGGACTTGGAGGAATCCCCAACAAACCTCCCCTCAACCAAGGACCACACAATTTCCGACCTCCCCTCCAGCGGTAATCCGTTTTTCCTTTTTATCTGCTAACCATCTTGCACCGCCGCACACTCTTTGCGGGACACGCCGACCGACCTCCTGTCGGGAAGACTTTCGACGCAAGGCTCGAACCGCAGATCTTTCCTTCGCTGGGCTACACCATTTGATCCGCCAAATCATCTTGTACCGCTGTGACTATAACTTCACGGGACGCGCCGCCCGACCTCCTCTCGTCGGGAAGACTTTCGACACAAGGCACCACCTGCAGATCCTCTTTCTTGGTCTTGGTCCTAGTTACACCGTCACACCGAGATTTTTCCACACTGCACAGTCCGCTACTCCCGCCCGCAAGAATCTGGGCTCCGATACCACATGTTGGAACTGCGCGTGCCCTCACCCCAACCCCGCATTAGTATGATATTGTCCGCTCTGGGACAAGCCCTCACGGATTTGTTTTTGGGCACCTCCCAAAAGGCCTCATACTAATGGGGTTGGGTGAACCTATATATTTTGGTCCATTTTTTCTTCTCCCTCTGGTGTGGGACTTGGAGGAATCCCCAACACTACCCATCCATTCTACCTACACCACACCCTCTACCCCCTACCCCTCGCTTCCCTCGTGTCCTATCTCACCTCCTAGTTGACCCGCACCCTGTCCCGTCCATTGTTAGCTCGCACCCTATCCCGTCCCTGTATCAAAAATCCAATCTTAAATTAATTCCTCAATGATGGAGTAAAATTAAGGTATTAATTTAAGACTATAAAGTATAAAGTTTAAATTTAAGATAGGATTTTTGATACAGGAGTCTAAAGTATATAATTTAAAATTTAATTATAATTAATACTTTTGAGACTAAATCATAACTAAAATAAGGATTTTTTTTTGAGGAATTTACTTGAATAACACTAAAATATAATGACTTTCCTTAAATAGCACCACATGTGTTTTTCTTCCCTATGTAGCACTTTTAGTCATTATGCATTAGTCATTATTCAAGTAAATATTCGCCATCATAGGACATTATGGACATTATTAAGTGCTATTTAGAGAATAAAACAATTTAAGTGCTATTTAAGGAAATGACTTAAGTTTTAGTGTTATTTAGTGCAAATATTTCTTTTATAAACTAGATTCAAGAGACTTGAGAACTATAATAAAAAATTGAAAATAACTCCTAATATATACGTTATAAGCTAAAGGGTTAAATATATTATTAGTCCATGTAAAATAGGCGAGTTTTGTTTGTGTTCCCTGTAAAATATGTTTTGCTTAATTCACCGTCAGAAATTTTTTTTATTTAGAAAATGGTTCTTAAGTGTAATTAAAACTTCTAATTTGTTGAGATAACACATTTATTTTATACTCAACATTTTCATTTTGTATTTCTAATTATCTCAGACACAATTTTCATGTCCTAAGTTATGTCCTTCGTCAAATTACATTATCTCTAAATCCAAATTTTATTATATTATATTCTCAAAAAATTTAGGAACTAAAGATGTGATATAAATAAAGATACAATTTAGGACATGTAAACTATATCGGAGGTAATTAGAAATACAAAACTAAGTTATGCCAAAACTTTGGATAACAAATAAGATATTCTTCCATAAAAAATATATTCTCTTCAGCCTTGTTTGGATGTTAGTCGTCGGATGTGATGTCATTGTTGGATTTATGGAAGGAAGAACACTGCGAAGCAGTGTTGAACGAAGAACTCGATAAAATAACGAATCGCGTACGAAACGCTTTCAGATCAAAGTTATTTCGGGGTATACGAAATACTTCAATCGGATAAGACGTTAATTTAGAACAAGCACTGGAGAATCTATATCTCAACCCATACCACGAGACTCTATTTTACAGAGTCGAAAATTCTTGTGATCGGACATGAACGTTCGCGTAGATGTACGCGTACGTTCGCGCAAGAAGAAAAAGGTGCGAGTTTGAAACGAAAGGTCTCATGCGGTTGAAGGCTTAATTTCGACGTTTATCCATTATGTACGAGTCCTTTACCGTTTTGGACTCCGGTCACGAATATCTTAAGGATTTTCTTAACGAAACAACGTCCGAAATAAAAAATTTCCAAGCTGTCCCCAGCCAGGGGCTCTGCCCCTTGGACCCCGCTACCCGGGGCCTGCCGCCCCCGGACCCCCGCTATCCCGGGGGCTGCCGCCCCCAGACCCCTGCAGTGAATTTATAATATCGTTGAACGAACGCACACTCCGCGCCTCCTAACTCGTTTGACAACGTCTATTTAAATTCTTGTCCGATCAAAGTAAATCCAATTACACAAAATAAATTGATGACACTAAAATCACCAACAGTCATATGTTATATAAACACGTAATTACCATCGGTTGAATTGTTGAATAATAACATTGTACGAAAACAAACAAACAAATAACAAAAAAATGTCAAAAACCCAAACAAAAAATAATACTCCCTCTGTCCCAAAAACAATGTCAGAAATATTATTTTGGCCTCTCGATAACTTTTGTTTGTTTACTCTTTTTGGTTGACCATTTGATAAAATAAAATATTTTTATCACATCTTCTTTTGTAGAACTTTTGATGTACTTTTGAACAATATAATTTTTAATTTATTTTTTATTTATCTACCAATTTGTAAATAAAATAACTTTAAAAAAGATTATATTTTGCACGTCTTTCGAAATATTGTAAACAACTTGAGATGGAGTGCGTTTTTTGACAAAAATGATAAAAACTAAAAACAAACAAAAAACAAAAAAAATGTTAGCAAGCAAAAAAAGCAAAGTAAACTTTTTTTGTTAACGAATAATATCAAATTATTTTCTCTCTTTCTTATTTATTGTTTTTAATCCTATTTTTCTTGATATTTTAATATTGTTGTTTTGTAAACGAAATTTTTGTTTGTTAACAAGTATACATGAATTCAGTGTAAAAGTATTATTAGATCTAAACTTGAGAACTTGAGTGATTTTAATACACATAGATCTGCTACATATAATAGCTACATGATCTAATTACGAGCCCAACAAGAATGAGTCCGTCAACGACAAACCCTACTACATTTTCTAACATTATATATATATATATATATATATATATATATATATATATATATATATATATATATATATATATATATATATATATATATATATATATATATATATATAGGGGGCGGTTCAAGTAAGAATGCACCTTGGTGAAAGAAATAAGAATAAAATCTAGCCTTTGGATCTGATGCATCGTGCGGCTCAAATTGCATCCTGCACTCAGATTTTGAGATAGTGCATTTTTAAATGATTTTGGTACACCTAATTTTGATGCAATCCTGACCCTTAGATCTCACAATCTAAAGCACCAGATTCATTCTTATTTCTTTCATAAGATCGCATTCTCACATGAATCAAAATCTCTCTCGCTCTCTCTCTCCCTCCCTCTCTCTCTCTCTCTCTCTCTCTCTCTCTCTCTATATATATATATATATATATATATATATAATGCAGCTAGCTTTTTATTGATTAGCGAAAGAAAGGAAGCATTACATCAGCTGTGATTGCTCCCTGAACATGTGGGGGAGCAATGAAAAAAGAAATACAAGGAGTAAAAAGGTTATGTTGGCTGGCCCATTTGGCCAAATGATGGGCTCCCATATTTCCCTCTCGAGGTATGTAGGAGATCTTTTGACCCGAATNATATATATATATATATATATATATATATATATATATATATATATATATATATATATATATATATATATATATATATATATATATATATATATATATATGATGGATTCTAGAGAGAGAAAGTTCTCCGGCGACTCTCCAGCAGCAACTCCGGCAGCCACTGGCAGGCCTAATCCACCCCCCATACATCATTTTCCAAAGCTATTCTCGGATTTATTTTCTGGTTCAAAGCTAGAACCCTTAGGGAAGGTGGAAGGCTTCCATAATGGAATGCCTCCAGCCTCTTTTTCTGTTGAAGAGGACGACATACTAGCCAGCTCTCTCAAGTACGCTGCAGTTGGGAGGTCTCAATCCAAGCTCTCGCCACTAGGGATGAAGGCCTTCTTGTTGAAAGGAAGGTTCAGGGGTGGCTTCAGAATAAGGAGGCTCTCGGATAAGGAACTTTTGTTCATTTTCAAAGAGGAGGCTGATTATACAAGGTTTATGCAGAAACGAATCTGGTACGTGGGCAAAACTCTTCTCTTTGTTTCCAAATGGACTAAAAACTTTTGCAATGACTGGGATTGCCCTGTTGTTCCTATTTGGGTTACCTTCAAACAACTGCCCCTACATTTTATCCACTACCGAGCACTTTTTACTCTGGCATCAACCCTTGGTAGACCTATTCAGCTAGATGCTTCAACATCCATTATGGATAAAAGTCTAGATGCTAGAGTCCTTATTGAAAGAGATGTCAGTATTCCTCTTCCTCAATCTGTTCATCTAAGAATTGGGGACAAAGACCATTCTATACACTATTTTTTTGAAAATCCCCCCATGTTCTGCAACAAGTGCAAAAGGCTAGGGCACAACTGCTTCATCTCTACACCCACCAGAAATTCCTTCTCCGGGAAGGAAAATTGCACAGGGCAGGAGAAGGGGAAGCAAATAGGGCCCCACCAATGGGTCTTAGCCAAGGGAAAGAAAAAATCATTCAATAATCAAAATAGCAACAGTCAATTACAACAGTCCAGAAAAATGTGGGTCAGGAAGAAAACTCAAACAATTGATGTCTCCTCTCAGAATCCTTTTAGTCTTCTGGAACAGCCCATGGACCAGCCTACGGTTCAAATTTTGCCATCCAATTACCAGTTGTACAATTCACATACAAGTACACATGGGCAGCTGACACGCATGGACCCACTTCTAGGGCAACTCCTTGGGGATGCTCAAGTCCCTGCAAACAACAATAACAAGACAAATGATATCTTCCCATCCTTCTCTGAAGCTAAGGAGTATGCTAATAAGATGGATAAGAAAAAACAGACAGATGAAGACAATCACTCTCATAAGGGAGCCTGTCAAACATTCACAGAGGAAGGCCCTCATTACAGGACCGCTGATCAAGGGTTAAGTCTTCTTCTACAATATTCAGAACCCAATTCTCCTAGTATCCAAGATCGAGACTGTGATTTTGGATACCATTCAGAAGAAGAAGTTAGTGTGTTTTTAGACAACTCAAAGCTGGAACCTAGAAGCTTTAGAACCCCTGAACAGAAATCCTTATGTGTCTCAGTCCCTAAAGCCTTTAAAAAGAGAAAGCACTTTGACATCCCCACTATGGTTACCAGGAGTATGAAGGGGACTAAAGATGTTACATTCTACTATCTCTCATGAACTGCCTTTTTTGGAATGTCTGTGGCATCACCTCCTCTGTAAATAGACTCATCTTTCTCTATAAATCTTACTCTCTGGATTTTGTTGCTATTTTAGAACCTATTGTCAAAGAACACAAAGTTAATACTCTCAGAGCCACTTTGGGCTTTAGTAACTGTGCAACTGCCCTTAATAATAAACTCTGGGTTTTCTGGAAAGGGGACAGATTTACCCTCATTCAAATTCAAGAATTTGATCAAATGTTCACCTGCCATTTTTTGGACAACACTATACATTCCAATATCAGCATCTCTTCTATTTATGGTAAGCATACAGGGGTAGAAAGAAGACAATTGTGGGAAGACCTTATCTCTAATGCCATCTATGATCACATTTGGATAGTTGGTGGAGACTTTAACACTATCTTATCTGTGGATGAACACAAGGGCTCAACATCCCCCAATCTGGCAGATATCAGGGAATTCAAGGACTGTCTTGAAGCCATACCACTCCTCAATACACATACTACTGGTGGTACTTACACATGGGATGGGGTGAGGAGCAGAGGCAGGGTTTGGAGAAGGCTTGACAGAGCTCTTGCCAATGAGAAAGCTCTTACTTTCTTCAATGATATCTTCTCTCATATGTGCAGCAAAACAACCTCAGATCACAAACCTATTGTGCTACAGTGTGCCATGGAGTCATTTAAGAGAGCCAAACCTTTCAGATTCCAGAATTTTTGGGTCAATCACTCAACCTTTTTAAAGGTGGTTAATGATCATTGGTCCACATTCCCCACGCAGGGTGGGATGAGAGGGTTGGCTTCCAAACTTCAGGCTCTAAAAACCATTCTCAGAAACTGGAGCAAGAGTACTTTTGGTGACATCTTTGAAGAATTGAAGAAAGCAGAAACCAATGCACAGAGGGCACAGGAAGCCTATGAGACTAATCCGGAGGACCCTACTCTTAGAAGCACAGCAAATGAGGCTTATGCTAAGCTAATAGAGGCCACTAATAGAGAAACTACTTTTTGGAAGCAAAAGGCCAACCTACACTGGCTTGAACATGGTGACCAGAACTCCTCCTTCTTCCACTCTTTTGTCAAAGGTAGGAGAACAAACCTTAAGATCAGGGCAATTAGAGATATAGATGGCAAGCTCATTGAGACAGAGGATGGTATCAAAAGAGCTGCTGAAAAACATTTCGTGGAAACTTTCAGTAACACGAAGTTGGTGGAAGCTGGACAAATCCTAAACCACATACCTAGCCTCATTACTAATGATGATAACAACATGATGTCTGCTATTCCAGATGAGATGGAGGTTAGGAAGGCAGTTTGGGATCTCAACCCCAGTAGTGCAACAGGCCCAGAGGGTTCAATGGTTGTTTTTTCAGAAACTGTTGGGATATTGTTAAACATGATGTCATAAAAGCTAGCCAGGAGTTCTTCATGGGTATACCTGTTCCCCAGGCTTATGGGAGTACACTCATCACCCTCATACCCAAGAAGGAGAACTGCACTACGTTCTCAGACTTCAGGCCAATTTCCCTTTCTACATTCATGAGTAAAATTAACACCAGAATCCTAGCTACCAGATTACAAAAACTGATTCCCAATCTCATCTCTATTGAACAATCGGCTTACCAAAAAGGCAAAGGAGTTGAAGATCATGTACTTATGGCTAGTGAAATGGTACATAGTCTGGACAGAAAATGTGATGGCGGGAATGTGATCATCAAGCTAGACATGGCCAAGGCTTTTGACAAAATTGAATGGTCTTTTCTCAAAGGTGTGCTCAACAGATATGGGTTCTCTCCTAGGGTGCAGAATCTTTTACTAGCAAACTTGGAGGCCACTTATATCTCTATTCTTATCAATGGCAGTCCCACTGGTTACTTCAAGATGAAAAGAGGAGTCAAGTAAGGAGATTCCCTTTCCCCTCTCCTATTCATTATGGCTAGTGAGGTTTTCTCTAGGATGGTCCATCACTTCTTTTGCAACCACTACTTAAAGAACTATAATACTGGCAGAAGCATTCTAGTATCTCACCTAGCCTATGCTGATGATCTAATTATTTTTCTTAATGGAAGGGTAAGAAACCTACTCAGATTCAAACACATACTGGAGGACTACACTCAGGGATCTGGGCAGGAGGTGAACTTCAGCAAGTCATGTTTCTTTGCAGGTAAACACTCCTCTCCTTCTACCATTGCTAGGATGGCAAAGGCACTGAATATG